GGTAAAACATACCAAAACATGTGTCTCTTTGTTTCGGTCAAGAAGCTAAGAGAGGAATGGTTGGGAGGGGGGAATGATGGACCAGAGATAGGTGATCCAACCAAAATTTTAAGGCAGGGCACTGGAAGAATAGCACTCCAATGCTGTACACAAAGTATCCTGAGAGTTTGAAGAGAAGAGCATTTTTAAAACAGATGAATCTATTTTGAGTTCCACAGAGTGAATCACACAAAGGCAATAAAAAATACGATGTACATTATGGTAAAACATACCTTTAAATTCATTGTCTTTTGAATATCCTAGGCATTTGGTGTTTAATGTAAAAAGATTATCACAGCAAACACAAGAAAGGATACAACAAGCAGAAGCCACTTGGTCCATCTAATTTGCCTTGTTGCTAGTAGCTAATTGACACAAGGATCTCATTCGAGTGGTCCTTAAAAGAAGCCAGGGTACCAGCTTCAACAAGATGGATGAGTAGCTTGTTCTATACTCCCACAACCCTTTGTGTAAAAAAAACTTCCTTATGTTTTGTTTAAAATGTACTTCCATTAAGTTTTTTTTTCACTTGTTTTCCTTGTTAATGCTAAGTGTTGATTCTGAAAATGACTTTTTCAATGCCTTGAAAATTTCACTGTTCAAGACTAAAAATGTTCAGTTCATTTAGGCTGTCAGTGTAGGACATTCCTTAAACATTGTTATGTATTTGGTCATTCTTCTCTGGACTGATTCCAGAGATGCAATATATGTTTTATACTGTGGTGACCAAAAGATCCTCTGAATTTTCTTCACAACATATTTTGGTGTAGAGTTTAATTTAGTCCAAAACAAACGCTCACAAAAAATCATTCAGAATGTATGCCACTGTGAAAATTACAGGTCCTATCTTAGAGTTCCCACAGGAAATCACTGCTATTGTTCCTGATACATAAATGTTGCAATTGCAATACTTCAGGCTCCTGACTGTGGGAAACTGTCAGTTTAATGAGTGGATCACTGAGAATCTTATAATTTTAGCAGTGTTTGTAAACATGTTTGTGCACTCAGATGAAAACTGCCGTAGCATTGGATACAAATTATGCAGTCTAAATTTCACTTCTCAAAATTTACAGTGGTAATGGGAAAAATACTATTTAAAAGAACACTGTAATTATGAAGTACTGTAAGTCCAAAGAAATGTTTCTTCCCTTTCTTCAGCAACTTTAAATAAGAAGTCTGTTGTGACTATAGTCATATACCATGCATGCAATGATCTAAAAATTCTAAGCTGAATATTTATTTGATTGCAAATCCTTTATTTATCATTTTTACTTTTAAAATGTTATAATTAGTTTAGTTTAGTTTTATGCCTATGTTTTCATCTTTTTAAAAATTTGTCACCATGTAGTAAAATAAATATTAGAAATTGTACACAAATACAAATTGTATACATACATGTATACCTTATAAATGTATAATCTTCTGCATTATTTTAAAAAGAAGATGTATGTTATTCATATAAGTTATTCTTTTATATTAGTAAATAAACTATTAACATAACTTTCAGCAATGCAATACAACACGTTAAACAATATATTTTCAACGCTACATTCCCAACACTCAGCAGCTACTCCATTGACTTAGATAGACTTTCCAGAATCTTTTGAACCTTTGAACGAGCTGTAAGCATTTGTGTTGAGAACTCTTTGCTGCAATTTTTGAGGCAAGCGATTTTTATTTTATTTAAGTCAAAGGTCAAGGGCTGAAGCGTTTGAATGGTTCACTCACAGCTATGGTTTCCTGGCCACAAACATAATTTCAATTGGATTTAAGAAACGGCCATTCCAACACTTTGATTCTTTTTCGCTTTAGAAATTAAGCTCTTGACTTGGCCGTATTCTTGAAATCATAGTTAAACTAAAATATGAAGCCATTGTACGTCTGTGAAAACCACAAATAGCATGTGTCATTTCAGTCAGTAGTACATCTTGTTATGCTTGGCCTGTATTGAGCTGTTCTTTTATGGACTAAACTACCAAATTTTTCCAAGTCATTCTTTACATCCTTTACCATCATTCTGATTTCACAACTTCTCAAAGAATCAGTCTTCCTGTTTTTGCAGATATTTTATTTAATCTCTCTGGTTTTGTTGTCTGTCTTGGTTGGACTTTTCAGTTTAAAAGGCTATGCTGAATACAGCTGTTTCCCAATAGCTTCCTTCACTTAGGTTTCTTGACTGACATGTCTCAATTCAGAGAGGGTTAAACAGTTAATTACGCGTTTAATTAAGTACCACTACTGTATGTCTACCATCTCCCAGTTGCATGCAATTCAAAGCAAGAGAAAGTATTTTAAATTGCCCTATGTTAACAAGGAGTATTAAACTTCAATCTGATTTCATGAGGCTTTTAAATCCTAACAAAGGTTAATGGATCATAACAGTAATCTATGAGAATTGGGAGGAGAGCTTTACTAATTAAATATTTGTGTAATGTCAGTAGCAGACAGAGGAATAATCTGTTACAAACATTTTATGTTTTCGTAGTTAAAAGGCATGCACTAATCTGCAAGCAACATCAAAAAATGTTTAAATTGTATCATGCTTTTTAATTTTAAGATTTGTGCAAAGTAATACAGTAGCCTGTTTTAGATGGAATCTTTTTTTACATTTACTTGAACTGTATGATAGTTTACCACTACTTACAGTATGTGGAAATTCATACGTTTGTTTCAATGTTTTAGTAGCAGTTTCTAGACCTAATGTAGACTATATTAAAATTCATTATGTGCCTATACAATATCAGTTTTTGTACTGCACTTAAAGAATATAATTGCAGTCTTTCATTGTTATCTTGCTGCATTGTTCTTCAAAAGTAATGTGAAATTGTGTATGTGACCTTCTATATAGCCTATCTGTTCCTTATCTGGCATGGTTTATAAATGCGAATGCCTCAAACAAACACACAACCAAAAAACACTTAAAGGTGAAAAACAAAAGGATGCCAGGCATCCCATCTGCCAGTGACTAATGAAATCTAACAGAAATTAAATTTGATATGATCAAATGCATAGGTCTGTAAAAAATAAACTTGGGATGAGGGGTAGCAGGGTGCATGTGTGCCTTTGAATTGTAGCATATCACGCAAAAACATTTACTCGTTCTCTACTGAGCATTGAAGGATAAAGGAGGTCAATATCCAACAGCTCAAATTTAAAATAACTCTTGCAGTCTGTCTCTTATATTTAGCTATATTAGAATTATAATGACAGGCCTCAGAGTCCAAGTTGCATGAAATATGCTGACTTCGTCTTGGGCTAGTAACACAGGAAAGAAGTCGATAGCACCGTTTAACCAAGCACATGGTTCCGATTGTTTGATACAGACTGTAGAAAGTAATTTTTCATACCATTACATACAAGCAAATACATTTGCACTGTTTGTGTTTGTTTTGTTTTTTTACATTATATTACTTCCACAGTGGGTGATTCACTGCTCCGTGAAGTTTGTGCACAGTATCCTAACTAACCTTCCCAAGAAAAAAAAACATCTGATTGAAAGGCGTTCCTAAGCTGTTGAGGTAGAAATTCAAGGGAAAGCAGAGTACATGCAAGCTCCACAGGCAAAGGAGACCTACAGTACATCATATCCCCTTTATCATTTCTCCTCACCTGGGAAATTATTTCCGGATTTAATTATTTCTGGACTGTGAAACCATCAAGGCATATGCCCAGATCTTAATCTGAGTTGAAGTAACTACTTCAATTCAACTATCTTGCTTTACAATTGCTGCCAGTCTAAAATAATGCTTTTTCAGAATGACTGTTAAGTTTTGGTATGGCTGGTAAGACAGGGAGATGACAATTTAAGGGGAGTTCTGCATAATTCCCTTTGTGAATGTATTTTAGACTGTTAGATTCACCTTTAAATGGGAAGTAACAAGCTACAAATGTGACAAGTGGAAGACTTTTAAATTACATTTAGTTGATGCATCTGAGGAAATGCTATTAAGAAAATTGTCCTATGTGAGTTACTACCAATTACTTATAGGTTGGACAGGCCTTTTACAAGAAGCTTTTTAGTTTTGTAATACTCTATTGACTTATCAGTTTTGTGTAAAAATGAACCTTTTAATTTATTTTAAAATGGGACAATAGGCTTGATTTAAGAGATAAAAAACCTTGCAGAAGGTAAGAGTGGTACAAAGACCAGACAGTAGTGAGCGTCCAGGCTCAGCCACTCAGAAATGACAGTCTGGAGTTCCCAGAGGGAGCTCTGAATTTGGAATAGGGCTTTTTAAGGAATTAGAAAACTTATAATTAGCTGAGATTTCTCAGCTAGCATAAATACAGTGACCCCTTTTGTGGGATAGAGTAGCATCCTTTGGTTGCTGTTTCCTATTCTAAAGTTATTTTTACATTTTGACCATAAATCTCTGTTTCTCAAGGATTGTCCAGGAGTCAGCTTTGTGTGGATCCATGTTACCGGCTGTTTCAGGATTAAGACAACACATGATGCTGTACATTATGAGAGACAATAGTCTTATCAAAGGATGAGGCCAAATATGAGTAGTAATAAATTCAAACACTAGGAACAGACAATCAGAGGAAGATAACTCTCCAAATCCGCTAATGCGCCGATTTTATATACAGTACATCTCTTTGGGACTAGAAGAAAAAGAATCACTTGGAGCGACCAAAATGTTATATAAAACCTGCTGGAATTCCGCAGTTCTCTTTAATACAGCAAACCCCCGTGTCTCATTCTACTTCCCTTTATGTTGTTTTTGGTTGGCCTGCTCTGATTCCTACTCATTCAATTTTTTTTTGCTTTTTCACGTATTGATCCATGTCGATCCATTCTGTCTCTTTTTTTCCGGTCAATGATTGCATTATGAAATGTTACTGGTGTCATCAGAGTCTTTCATTTAAGTCGCAGTTTGGATATAGTGTGTAAGCGGAAAGAGAAAGGGAGATAAAAATAGGAAGAAAAAACAAACGAACACAATAAAACATCAACATACCTCTTCCACTCCTGCCCACAAACCTCAGGTCATTAAATCTTGCCACCTGGTTCTTCATGACAGCAGAAGCATTTCTCAGTTCTGCTGAGTAGTTCTCATCATTTCCTGCCATCACTGTGACAACTGTCCCATCAGGTACCTCCCCTAGTGCAACCACCTGTCAAGAATGGACCCATAGACATACATAACCATTACCTTTTCAAGCTACGACATGTGCTATACAGTACCACAGTGGACAATGGTAAACATGGCTCACCAAATTATACGGTACAAACATTCATAATACACTCAGTGATGATAAACAGTGTTGTGAAGCACACATTTTCTCAAAAATATCTTCAATGTATTCATACCTTAGGTAAAGGTCAGGTTCATATTTCATATCCATAAAACAATTAAATTTCACTGTGCCACACTTTGAGTTAATCTTCCCACTGCAACTAGTAAGCAATGGCCACATTACTTCAGTGTTAAAACTCATTACACACTGGCTTGTCTTCCTAAAGCCCTTGCTTATTGTTTGCTAACTGAAGCACTTCAGTTGCCTTCAATTTTTGTCATCACTAGCTCCACCACTGGTACAAGTAGGTAGTGTCGCTAATGCTCATCCATTAGTGACATTGCCTGCATAAGCAAGAATTATGTAAAATAATTACTTCATGTTTTTCTTTTAAGTTTGAAACCACAACCCTGGACAACTAAACCCACCAAAACCTGGGGATACTTGACAAACAGTATAGCGTCACTTAGATATAAACTCCAGATTCAGACTAATGCTGTCTGAAACGTATGACCCAACCGGTGGGCCAAATGAACACTTTTAATGTCTGATCCACAAAGAAGCCCCATTGATCACTTATGTTAAATATAAAAAAATCATAACTGATAAATAAAACAAATGTAATTAGTTTTACAGTTGATTAAAAATAGAAATTTCTCATTCTAATTATATTTTTAATTTATTTTTTCTATTTTTTTTTTGTCAAGAAAATAACACCATAGACAGAGTATGCAGAAATCATCAAATCGTCTGATAGGCATAGTGCATCTGCTGGTTCTTCTTTTAGTGGGACTGTAACCATATCATTTTTGCAATGTTACTAGAAGCAGGATACTGTATGTGGCATTAACAATGTCAGGGCAAGGTTTTATCCTCATTGATTGCCGAATGTCTGACTTACTTTGATTCTAGCTTGTAAAATCCAAGAATCCTGGTTCCTTACAATAGTATATATTTACTTATGTTACAAGAACTATATTTTTATTTAATTAACCTAGGTATTATTTGATAGCTAAAAGCAGCTTCCACTTTAAAAAGAAACTGAGAATGTATATTGGGTAATGTACAGTAAATGTAGAAAAATGATTATGTAATCCTACCGAAAAAAGTAATCTTCAGTTAGAAGGCTCCACCATTGGTCTTGTAAATATGATGTGCAATATCCTTTGTGTTCTAATTTTAGAAAATGAAGTAACACTGATGTTTTTTAACAGAAGAGATGTGTAAAATGGAATATGGCACATCGAATAACTGTAAAATGCAGGGATAACTTGTGGAAAGCAGGAACACACCATGGGAGATGCATAAATAAAATAGATTTAAAACATTTAAATAAATTACAACAAATGGTGTTGTATAGACAACTGTTTGGAGAAACGATTTTAATTAAATATTACCTTACACTTTAGTCAGATTTAGCGAGACGTGATAATAAAAGTTAGGAGGAATGATCATTTCTTTGCACAGTAATTCAAGAAAAGACCCACAAGTCTGATCATTCAGAAATGGATTTAGAAAATCTATACAGTTCTTTAACCATTTCAGGTTAAAGCACTTCACAATGTTTATCTTCCAGATTTCAAATATTTGTAATACCCTAGGACTAATTTTAGAGTCAATATTATAAACTATTTTACAATGTTTGAATTTACCATTAACCTCTTCTCCTATAAAGAAAAAACAATGAAATTATATTTTATATGGCAGGCACAAACATAAAACATGTCACAAATTACAAATTACTAATTTACAAATAAGACCATGTAAGTATGTATGCATTCATCATAGCCCTTTTTATTTTGTAAATTTATTTGATATTAATGTCTCTACAAACCTGGCACAACTATGAACTATGTTACAGTTTTATGGGATTGCTTGACTTCTACAGCAAACAAAAAACATAATATTTTTGCCACTTCACCAACGTTTTTCCAAGTTTAGAAAATCTATTGCACACACCCCAAAGTAGAACTTTAGCAGAAAAAAATGATAATTTCTTAACACATTCATGTTAACAGGTATTCAAAAAATAAATCCCTCTTTATTGTTTTGTGACAACTCTATAAAATAGTACAGTCTTGACAAAACAATAACTTTAAACTGGTAGAATTGCGTGCTCCAGTTTAACGTGCCATACAAATACATGACATCCTTGTGTGGATGCCATGCCTTATACATTGAACTGATTTTTATCATTTGAAGGGTAAAATGTTTGTACCGTAGATGTATCTTAAAACTAACAGTAAACAGAGTAAGAGTAAAAATGTTTTGTAGCATTTTCAGGATAATTTGATTACATTTAAAAGCTGTCTTTCAATTGTCGCTCTTCGACAAGCCTGATACGGACTGTATGCTACAACTTTGAAAATGTGTATTACAGTAGCTTTCTTGGTTTCATCGTAGAATCTTATCAGTTTTGTGTGCTTTTCTATTTCTTCTAAAAATCAATTTTCTGAAATCATAACAGTTGATCGTTACAGTGAGCAGTTAGAATATATCAATCATGAACAATCTATTATCCGTATTTGCCAAAAGCATTTTTCCAACAGACAATACATACTGTAAATGACACTTAAATTAATATATCCACAAAATGATAAAATCCAGAACAAAGTAAAAGTTTTGAATAGCATAAGATAAGTGGTGCAGTTAGACGTTAGTCCTTTTACCGGTCCATTCCATAGGAATAATCTTCCTGCCGAGTTATTTGCCGTCTTCACAACCTCAACCCCCCCACCCCCGAGCCACATTACAGCGCATCACTCCAAACCAGTGAACCAGCATTTAGCGTTATTTTATTTTATCAGCATTTAACTTACGACTCCGGAAGCTGTGTTTCAGTTTCCAACATTGACAAGTTAGCCTTATGTACGCGATCCGCAGTAGCAGAACTGGCCTGAACAGAAGCCGTTGGGTTCAGTTCATTAATCACACCAATATATACGTCTATATACTGTATCTATACCAGTAGCGAGTATCTTGAAAAAGTTATATTTAATCATGTAATAAATATGTCATCCTGTGATCATTCTATCACATTAAAACATCGTTGGAGCTATTCTCCAAAACTTGTACTTGAGTATCCGTCTACTTTAAAACTTTAAAAAGTGAATTAACCATAAGTAATAAGTACAATAAGTAATGCAAAACCCTAACAGGCTTTCTACCGTTGTCACGGAGGTAACTATTACTATTGCGTAAACGAGCCATTGTGCCCAATACACTTCTTTCAACCTACAGTAAATACAGTTATGGAACTGCTCATTTTTTGAGCAAATGAGACCTTAAAAACATAGAACCATGGCTGTAAACTTAGTAAAGAGGTGAATGAATTATTAAAGGTACATACGATTAATGCTATAAATAGCTTTTGTATCTCAAATTACAGCTGTCTGCAACACTAAAGTAGATTAACCTTGTGCAACGACATTTCTGTTTTTGTGTAGTATTCCTATACAAACATTAAAGTTAATTGTTTATCTTGTCTACCGCAGCGCAACAAATGTGGTGAGTTGGGCTACAAACTATAGGTGACAGAAATGCTAACTGAATAAAACCATGTTAACATAGTAGATTCTTAGTTTAGCAGATTCTTGAAATGCAATTCACTGAAATATGACTTCATATTTTTTTAAAAAAAGCCGTAGGCATGATTTGTGATCAAAGTAGCACCCGTTTTATACCGAACAAACCATACGCAGTTATGCGGTTTTAAAAAGAAAATACACGTCTTATTTCTCGCTTGCCAGTGGCACTAGATTTATCGCTTTGATATTCTTGCATGTAACTTAAACTACAAGTAGAATGAAATAACAACTGAAGCAAAAACATATGAGGCTACATAGACATTGTCTTACCTTGAATGCTACAGGTAAGGTTTTGTTACACCTCCAATGTGACGGCAGGACAGAGCAAAGGAAATTCGGGCTGTCAGTCCGGACTAATTCCGCAGGGTGATCAGCGATGATTTCGACCATGGTGCGGTTATCATGTGGCCGAAGTCTAGGCACAGCTGGAGCCGCCTCTTGCTGTCCTGTCGCTGTGCTCACATCGCTCATTTTCCCGGTGACCGGTTGTAGGCTGTTGGACGGGGGACTGAACCTCCGGCTGGTGCTGGGATCTACAGGAATGCGCATCACAACACCCAATATTAGCAAAGGTAAGGCGGCTGAAAAATGGTTCTAAAAAGTGACTGTGTTTGTTACAAAACTTCTAGCAACAGGAGGCTACACGGGTCTTTGAGATAATACAAAATCTCTTTCCGGATCTGCCCTCAGCATTAAAAAACGCGAAAAGAAAAACTTTGTCAGGGGCTATGTGGTCCTGAAACGCAACACGCAGACAATGTTCTCCCGGGTAGATGTACAGGGAAGAGCGAATGGAATACTGCAGGCAGTCCCAAAAGCAAACTCAGAAACGCTTTAAAAGTTCTCTTCAGTTTAGAATGGATTTCGCCTATTTTAACTTGTATTTTCCCTTCGCAGAGCTTAAATAGGACGTTATACATATAGCAAGAAGTCAGCCTTTGTCTTTCTCGTGGACGTTTTTAAAAAAATGACAAAGATTTCAGCCTCTGCGAATTTAAACGCTTCCTCATCCAAAAAAGAAATCCGCCTGCGGAGTTATTAACGTCTGGTGCGTGTAAAACTGCTGAAGCAATCCATTCAAATTTCTTAAAAGAAAAAGAAAAAAAACCCTGAAAGTCTTTATGAAGTCAATATGGACAAACTGAATCCCACACACCAAGTGCTTCATAAAAAAACTCTTAATAAATTAATATGCGAACTGCCAGAAGAAAATTATAAACAGTTGTTAAAACCAACGTGCTCTCAAAATGCGCGATATTGTTCCTTAAAAAAGACACCAACGATTGTATTGTCAAAAAATAAGTTTTTTAAACTGTTGTTTTTTTCATGAATCATTATAAATTCAGCATCTTGTAGTCACCCTGTTCTTTGAAAGTTATCCCCCAAATAATGTCCTGGTCTCAATGATTTTTTTTAGTATAGGGTTAAAAGGTTCGTTGATCCCAAAAAAGTTGCGGTCGATAGGATGAAGGAGCCGAAAAAAGCCACAGTTTTTTGTCCCAAAATGTGGTTTGTCTTTGGAGGCAGGGATTTCTAATGCTCAGGTTTTTGTGGTTTATATATACAGTACTAGGCGATCATTATGCTGATGAGACTCAAGCACGTGGTGTCTGAAGCCAGTCATCACACTGCATTCAAAATAAATAACTGAATACTTCTGTCTGTCCTGAAATGAAGACTTTTAAAATCTCTTTTCAGCTCACTCACGTCAACAGCAGCGCCAAATCCTGTACGTATGCTCGATTTCTTTGTCACGTTTAAAGTAATGAAAAACACACTCACCAGTAATCTGTCAATGTAAAAAAAAAATCACAATCCTATCGTTTAAATGCATTTCCTTGAATGAATGAAAAGTAATAAACGACCCCCCATCCGATTATTAAGATGTAGTTGGGGGAAAAAATCCAATTTAAAAATGTACATACCCAGTGATAAAAAGGGAAACAAACTCGGGTTTATGAAAACTTAAAGAATCCTCTCCTCAGAGATCTTAAGTCAATGTTTGAAAGTGTACATGTTTCAAGTAAAAGCGCTTCCACTTTCTGTAGCTCGGTCTTTCCGTGTGCGTTATGTTTGACTTAAAGGGAGTGACATACTGTAGTGTAGTGAACCAGGAAAAAATAGCTGACTGCAATCACTGTGAACTGCGTTATTTTTATCATTACTATTTAGACTCGTGAAATAGAACAGGCACAGAACGAATCGGTACCATCTGAGAAAAGAAAATACCGACTTTGTACAAATTCTTTGCTCCAAAATGTCTTCCTTGTTACTAGAACTAACAGAAACTTAAAACGAACAAACTGGCAGTTCGAGCAGCAATGACTCACTTCCCCTTGACTAGTCTGACTCAAGGCTTAGATGAGAAAAAGACATTCAAGGAAGTTTTTTTTTTCGAAAGCTCGGTCGCAGGGGAGAGCTGTAGTACAAGAACAGCGTTATTATATCAGAAATGACCCTAACTGAACAACTTAGTATGGTTCGTTTATTTCGTTGATACGTATTGTGGTGAAAATTCCGTCGTTTACAGAATATATTTGACAATTAATTTATTATATTGACTAGTATTTAAGATTTTGTACTTGTTTACTGATTACTGTTAGAGTGACGTGCTTACCTTTTTAAGTGGTAAAATACTGGAGTGTAGCAGCTAAAGAGCTAAGACTAAGTGCTACTTTATCTCGAGAGAAATTCACAATTGTACAAAACGTGACTCGTTGTGTTTTTTCTTCTTCGAAAGTATACTTTTTGTAACAAAAATAGGCCTGTTGCTTATTGAACCGCTGATTAAAAATTAAACCATTTCCCTATATTTATGTATCATGATTTTATTTCAAATTTTATCAAGCATTATGTTTTAAATTATACATTGGTCATTTTCCCATAGAGACAAATATCATTTTATCTCCAATAGTTATTCTTTTTATAATCTTATTTAAGTATCTTAACAACAGAGCTCATCAGCAGAACTAGTGATTTTAACACCTGCTGTGATCCAAACACATGTAAAAACCATCTATCTGTCTGGACTTTACAGACGGCGCCTGGGGCACTAAGTTTGGTCATATTTAATTAATTCTATTTTGAATTTGTGGTTACTGGCCGTACAAACAGTCTAACGTAACCTTAGACAAGACAGACCTTTAGATAACCCTACTACAATCGATAAAGATTAACAAGGCGGCACGTATATTAGGCATTTTGCTCCACAATACTACAAGAACTACAAGTCCGCATGTACTGTGCGAAAAGTCAGCGGACGTCTCAGGATATTGCGTATATTTTCTGGCGACGAAAAGATCCAACTTTGTTGTAGTTTCAGGCAGTAAGCAAACGATTATGTAACAGATGCGAACTACAACACCCAGAACACGTTAGAAAGGTGATTCAATGACGTCAATGGCAAGTTCTTGTGTTCTGTATGGCAGGACTTATGCACGAGGTCGGAACTGAAGTAAATAAAGGTAAGTAACCTGCAAGGTAAAGCTACATTTCAAGGAAGCGGACTTCCAGCAGTTGAAAGTAACAGTTGTTTATCGTCTAGACAAGAGCTAGAACAGCTAAACGAAGCAATAAAGCCAAAGATAAAAACAGCGCTTTAATAAAATGCTTGCTTTTATGGGTTAAACCAGCAGACAGAAGAGAGGTAGTGCATCAACTTATTTAGTGCTTATGATAAATTCTTGATGCACAGAGTGAAAATAATTTTCACCAGGCTCTTTTATTTTTCCCTAATAGGATTGAATTCCTTTAACCTGTCTTAGACTCAATACCGGCGTTCAGTGAGACTCGTGTGTTTGTGCAGCTTACCTGAAAATGTAACCTTCCCTGTCAGATTGATTACAGCGACACAGATAAAACACAACACGTTTTCTATAGAAAGTATCATGACACAATATAAATGAAGTGTTCAATGTAATCTTGTTATACCCTTTATTGCAGGTATTTAAAATGCTTGGCTTTATGTCAGTTCTGTACGTTTTGCTACATTTCATATTAACAAATAGCCAAGTACGTGGTTCAAAATCTTAAGGGGTTCTCACTGCAGAATAATGAAAACATTATGCCCGCCACCATTACCTGTGTTTTCTAGGAGATATTAGCTGCGTGGTTGGTTTCGAGTTAGTATAATTGTAACTAGTTCAGAGTGCACTACCTCAGTGGTCCTTACCTCAGACATTTCAGCAATTTCATACGTGCCAAATTTGTATTTTTAAGTTATAATTGGTGTTCATGAAAGACAATGCGATGTGCTTTTATTTAGAACATTCATTTATTGTGGAATTTAATGTTTGCATCAAATCCGGAGGAAACGGATATGTAGTTGTTTAACAAGCAAAGGCAATTGTACATTCTCATAATTAAGCTGAAATGTTTATAATTTGTGCATACCTTTATGGTTTTTACAGATAATTTAATAGGAAATGGAAAATATATTTTTAAGTAGATCAGGTGGGTAGCTGCGTCAGCATGGATAGGCTGCAAAGAACAATAAATAGGTTCATTCCATGTTGAAAAGAGAAGAAAGAAAACACAGTGTTTCGGCCATGGAACCTTCTTCGGGTGTGAGAAAGACAGGGCAGTAAGCAAAGGTAATGTAGCATAGGAGGAAAAAAGCTTGGAGAAAGGAGGAGCAGGAGGCGGGAGCAGGGGACTGACAGAGTGGCCAATCAGTTCTGTTGTAACATTGAAATGTTTACTATAGTCCTCTACAATGTTTTTTTGTTTAGGTGGGTACAATGCATATGGACATATGCACAAAATATGTAAGTTCTGTGGCATTTTGTTACTGGGTATTAAAGTCTAAAGCATCTAGTCACTATTTCATATACTGTCACGGGCATTAAAGAGTCAGTAGGTGGTGTACATCCAACATTCCTCCATTTTTTCTTTCCTTGTCAACTCCATCTCATGCAAGTATCAGGCTGTCATTACAGTCTTACAGAGTTTATGCCATTTGACAGCTCCTTTCTGTGATAGGAATACTAACAAATTATTCACCCAGGCTCATAATAACCAAGCCCTATCCACATTTATTAAAATGTGTCAAAACATACTCAGAGCTATGTATTACCAGTTGAGCCAATATATGTGTGGATGTTATTGAGATGGTTGTCTTTCTTTTTCTGCCAGAGGGCTATTTTATTGGTTACATTCTTTTCTTCCATAATTTTAATATTATGTATTGCAGTTATGGAAGTATAAGAAAATTAGGGATAGTTGTGTGTTTGATTGAGAGTCTAAATCTGGAAGTATCAAAACAGTGTGAAGATGATACTTTTAGTGCATGATGTTTCCTTTTGCTTTTAATGAATATGACTTTAGTTGTGAAATATACTTTGCTATAGTATCTTGCAGTACCATTCCACACCCTAAAAATACAACAGGAGTATACACAGTAGACATAGCTAATCAACCTTCCATTAAAGAGTCCAAATAACACAAATGGCACAATATATATTTGGATTATTAAATTAACAAAATGATCCAACAATAAATATCCTAGTGTGAATGTCTGTGAGCACTGGGATTGTGTAAAATTATGTAAGTACAGTCTGAAAACCTTAGGGTAGGTGGATCTTAGAAAGAACTCTTTAAACAGCAAAGACTTCTATTAGATATTTCCTGTAACTGTTTATCAGTCTTTCTCATCTTTTATGATTTTTTTCCAATTATTACTGACAGAACTGCTTCATGTTGGTGACATTTCATGGTTTTCTGGCTGGAACAGCTTTCAGGTCCTGTCATAACATTTCAGTAGGAATTAGGTCTGGATATTGCCTTGACCAATCCAAAATGTGGAATTTGTTCTTCAGCCTTTCTGATGTAGATTTTCTTGTGTGTTGAGTATCATTTTTTTGCTGTGTGACCGGCTTTCAGCTCTTCTTCAGCTGACAAATAGGAAGCCTGACATTCTCCTCCAGAATTTGCAGATACAAATTCACAGTTCTTGTCAATGATGACAAGCTGTCCAGGTTCTGAGGCAGTGTACCAAACCATGATACTCCCACTACCGTGCTTACTGGTTGGGATGATGTTTTTCTGTTAGAAGGCACTATTTGGCCTTTGTCACACAAAATGTGTCTTATTTTGGCCAAAAAGTTTATCTCTAGTATTGTGGATTGTCAGGGTGCGCTTTGGCGAACTTGAGATTGGCAGTAATGTTTTATTAGAGATAAATTGTTTCTTCCGGGTTATGAAAACATTCAGTCCTTTTCTGATAAGTGAAACATGGACACTTTCATTAGCTGTAGTGAGAGACACCTGCAGATCTTTTATTTGTGATTGCTGGGTGATTTAATAAATTTCCTTTGGGCAGCTTTGCAGGATGACTGTTTCTAGGTACAGTAGAGTTGCAATGGTCTTAGATATTTTCTCTTTGTCAACTGTCTCTTTTAGTGGATGGATGGAGCCAAAGATGATTTTTAAGTGGTTGGATGGAGCCAATGATGTTTAGAAATGTTCCTGGGACCTACTCCAGACTTATGAGCATCAACTATTGTTGAGGTCCTCTGAAATCTCTTTTGTTCTTGGCATGACATGTTTTCACTAACCTCTATGGCTAAAGACCAAGGTCACAAAGTATCTGACTCTTATGTAGGATATGGCTACCCAAACTCAGTCCTTGTTTACTTGTTATCCAACTATTTAATTACCTGATTCTAAATACCACGTTAATTGTGCTAAGTAAACTAGGAGTTCCCTTATTTCACACACTTAATTATTATTCATTTTTGCTACTTCATACTCTGATAACATTGAATAGGTAAATATTACTCTTTCAGCTGTTTAAGAAAACACCAGTTTTGATTAAGCAGGAGTATCACGGTAAGAAAATGTAATTCCCATACTGTATATATATAACAAACGTTTTTTTATCACTGTATATGTTAATTTAAGAGTGAACAGTGTAATATGAACATTTACGTTCAAAAGCATATATCTCAAAATTGATATAATTTATATTAAGGTGTATATTTTATTTGTAGAGACTTTCCTAATTTATTTTAATTTGTGTTATATTTTTTAAATTTAAATTTAAATGGGAATGTTCACAAGAGTCTTGTGAAAAGCTGTTATCACAACAGTCTGAATGACAATCCTAATTTATTTTGAGGGTAAAAAAGCAAGCTATGAGTGAGGCACACTGATTACTGATATATCAAGATAACTTCCTTTTTTTCTCAGTTGAACTGTTCTAAAAATGATCACTTAACTTTTCAAGATTTAATCATTCTTAAACGCAGGATTTTAATTTTGCCTTGTTTGAATGTTTTAGAAATTTTTAAGGTTGAACAACATGCTTTATTTGCTTTATTTGTCCTATGATTAGTTCAATATTTACTGAAGATGAGCAGCAAATAGATTGTAACTATGAATTGATAACTGACCATGGAGTTGAGATATTCTTTCAAAAAAACATTGATAAAATTATCTCACATCTGCAACCAACTTAAATTTACAGTACATGTTTGGATGGTTTGCTGGTGAGAAACAAAAAGAAGCTTTGCTTGGGAATTTAGTTACAGACTACTTCCTCTGTTAAACAGCATTTTCAGCAAGGAGTTTCCCTATCAGGACACGCTGGTTTAATCTGTATGGCCAGACTGAAAAAAAATCCACATCACTGTCTGAATTTAGACTGAGTCAGAAAGAAATATATTGAGAGCTTTCCAGGGGGCTAGACATTAAGACAAAATGTCTGATCAAGAGAGATTTCTGGATTTGTTTAGTGAATTGTGAGATGCATTTAATCAACTTTAAAATTGTATTAAATTGTGGATTTTCAAAGCAATGTTACATTAATTTGCTTTTTCCCAGAATGTTTTTGTTTATGGAATGTATTTTATGTTCATATAAACAAGAAAATCACACTCGTGCTTTGCAATTGAATTAACGAATAATTCTGCATTGTGATTTAAGAAATCCAACAAGCGGACAAGTAAATCCTGGCATAGTTCATTTTTAATTTACTTGAACCAGTTAACATGTAAAGTTGATGGTAAAATGCATGCACAAACAATGGAAGATGTTGATCTTCAGCTTGTGGTTTTATATGATGGCTAGATTTAAAAAAAATAAACATGTCAGTTAAGCATGTGTCTGGAGGTATTGCAATTGTATCTTAAAAAGCAAATTATTTTTTTGTTGGCATATCAATAAAAAAGACTGACTTTTTTCTGTCAAATCTAATATAGCAACATGCAATGTATGAGGAAAACCTGAATGGGGTTAAGGACAGTTAGGCATAGGAGTTTGGGTTATCCTGTGGTGGTGAATATAACTCTTCAAGCACATCATTGTTTTTCCATTGATTTAATTTATATATCCTCCTTATACTTGCATGTCTAATTTAAATTATTAGTGAATCTCAGAGGAAAGTCTAAGAATGGATTTAGTATTTGACAGGATGCATAGGCCTTTAGGTTTATGATGGTGCATTAGTAAAAGATTACTGACATTT